CGCATGTTAAGGCTAAGCAAGACAAAGATCCGTACTTAGTGAAGTTAAAAGAAGGAGTTAGAAACAAAGAAATTATTGCTTTCACTCTAGGAAGTGATGGAGTTTTGAAGTTGAATGATCGGTTATGTGTGCCTGATGTAGATGGTCTTAGGAAGGCCATAATGGAAGAAGCTCACAGCTCGAAGTACTCTATCCACCCAAGTTCTACCAAAATGTATCTGGACTTGAAAGAGTTGTATTGGTGGAAAGGCATGAAGAAGCAAGTAGCAGATCATGTGGCCAAATGTTTGAATTGCCAGCAAGTCAAAGCCGAGCATCAGAGGCCTGGTGGCCTAGCTCAAGATATAGAGATACCACAGTGGATATGGGAGATGATTAATATGGATTTCGTAGTAGGTCTGCCTCGCACATACCGTAAGCATGATTCAATTTGGGTTATTGTAGACCGACTGACAAAGTCCACGCATTTCCTACCAGTAAAGACGACAAATTCTGCAGAGCAGTATGCGCAGTTGTACATCAAAGAAATAGTCCGATTTTATGGTACTCCAGTTTCAATCATATCTGACATAGGCCCTCAGTTCACGACACATTTTTGGCAGGCATTTCAGAAAAGATTAGGTACCAAGGTCAACTTGAGCACCACTTTTCATCCACAAACCGATGGTCAGGAATAAAGGACCACTCAAACTCTCAAAGATATGCTGCGAGCATGTGTTATAGATTTTGGAGATAATTGGGATGATCACTTGCCACTTATAGAATTTGTTTACAATAATAACTATCAGGCCAGCATTGGTATGGCTCCTTATGAAGCATTGTGTGGGCGAAGATGTAGGTCTCTAGTGGGTTGGTTTGAACCAGCAGAGATGCCGTTGATTAGTCCAGAGTTTGTTTGTGAGGCCTTAGAGAAAGTTCAGCTAATTAGAGGAAGACTAAAAGCAGCTCAGAGTAGTCAAAAATCTTATTCTGATAAGAGGCATCGTGACTTAGAGTTCATGGTTCGTGACAAGGTATTTTTGAAAGTTTCACCAATGAAAGGAGTTATGAGGTTTGGTAAGAAAGGAAAACTTAGTCCTAGATTTATCGGACCTTATGAGATTATAAAAAAGAAGGGAAACATAGCTTATGAGCTAGCGTTGCTCGTTGAGTTGTTCTCTGTTCATCCTGTCTTTCATGTGTCTATGCTTAGAAAATATATTCATGATGAGTCGCATATAATACATGCCGATACCATAGAAATTAAAGAAGGCTTGACTTATGAAGAGGTACCTATAGAAATACTCGATAGGCAAGTAAGAAAGTTGAGAACAAAAGATATAACATCGGTAAAAGTTTTGTGGAGTAATCATGATTCAAAAGAGGCTACGTGGGAGGTCAAGGAAGATATGGGGAAGAAGTATCCTTATTTATTTGAGGAACAAGGTATGTAAACCTAGGTTTGGCTTGACATTTATATTTTATTTATTAAATACAAGTTAGCATGTATTTATGTCCTTGCTAGATTACACTTTGTTGTTGAAGTAATTTAGTTTATGTTAGAGTATATTTAATTATTAAATAATTTAATACAATACATTTAATTCATTAAGGTGATTTACTTTTGCTAAAGTGTGTTGATTTAGAGTTTGATTCATTACTGTGATGTACCTCCTTGCCAGAGAGTGAGAAGTTATTTTATGAGCTATCTTTGGTTCCAATGAATGGCATGTTATGGTATATTTGGTTGTTGTTGGTGTAGTTGTAGTATTGGTGCCAGGGATATTTTTTTTGATAGTCCAATTTACAAGAAAGACTCTGCCGAAATTTCTGAAAATTTAAGTAGTTAAACTTCAAGAGTTAGATAGAACTTTTAAAGATAATTTGAATAATTTTATTTCATGCTTGTGCTATGTATACACTCAAGAATGTTATTATGAATATTGATAGATCACTTTCAAACAAGATTTAGACTTGAAAAGTCACAAGAAGAAGTTTTAGAAAGAAAAGATATTTGGGAGTATCTTCTATTCTGAGAAGGGGTCATCGTCTAGGCCGAGGATCCTGACCAAAGCATTGACTTCCTGAAACTACTTGTGCCAAAGTAGGGAGCACACGAGCCGAGGGTCTCGTTGCTGAGAATTTACTTAGCCAGGCTAAGGTATGATACATGAGCGCTGAGAACCATGAAGCGAGTGTCACCTCGTGGATTGGGCCTATTCGATCAGGTTGGGATCGAACCTGTGCCGATCACACGGTGACTAAGACAGAAATAAGTCAGAATAGTTAGAACTCCCGAAGTATGAAGTAAAGTAATTTTTTTTCAGAAAGAAAAAGTAAAGAATTTCTTTTGAAATATTCATAAACTGCTGTTATGTAATTATTTTAGAATTGTTCTTAAAAGCTTTATGTTTTCCATGCATTTAGAATCTTTGCTTGTAATTCGTCCCCGGTCGTTGCGACTCACTGAGTAAATGGATGGTACTGACGTTCTCTTTTGGGAACCTATGTTGGTCTGCGGTATAACGTAGGAGCCGGTTTTGCATGCGAGCAGGCTACAAGTTAGGACTTCCCTCTCTTCTAGTGCTATTGGTGAGCTCCGCTTTTGTTCGTGGAGTATTCCTTCGAGTCATCTTTATTTAGTTATTTCTTTGTTTACTTGAAGAACTAGCCAGGCAATCTCATGTCCTGAGCAATGCGTCAGTTTATCAGTAGAGGCTTCATAGACACAGTCAGTGGGTTAAGATTCAGATGTTTTTGATAATAACTTAGCAGTTTTTCATTGGTTACTATGAATAATGTATTGAGTTTGTTTATTCTAGATATTTAAATTAATTAAAAGTATTGCCTTGTTGCATATAAAGTTCTAAGTTATAATAGATTTGATAAGCGCAAATGGTTTGCTCGGTCAAGTTTAGTGATCGGGTGCCGGTCACGGCTTGTTCAGAAAATGGGTCGTGACACAAGGAAAGGTATACAGATTGAAGAAAGCCTTATACGACTGAAGCAATTCCCTAGAGCTTGGTTTGACAGATTTAGTAAAGCAATGATCTTCTTCGGTTACCAACAACGCAATGATAATCACACCCTCTTCATGAGACATCAAACGGATAAACTCACTCTTCTCATAATTTATGTTGATGACATAGTAATGATAGGAGATGACAAAGATGAGATGACCCGATTGAAAAAGTTGTTGGCACATAAATTTGAGATCAAGAATCTAGGAAAATTGCAGTATTTCTTGGGAATTGAGATTGCTGGATCCAAAAGAGGAATCTTTATTTCTCAAAGGAAGTATATTCTGGATATCTTGAAAGAAACTAGTATGACAGGTTGCAGACCCACATATCGCCCATTGAAAGCAATCACATGTTACAAAGCGGAGTTGGAGAATCAGTTAATAAGGAGAGATATCATAGGCTGGTTGGAAGACTCATTTATCTCTCCAACACTAGACCAAACATAGCCTATTCAGTTAGCCTGGTGAGTTAGTTCATGCATGATCCCCAACATCCTCATATGCAAGCCGTCTTTTACATTTTACGGTATCTGAAGTCTGCTCCAGGGAAATGTCTACTTCTTCAAACATGATCACCTCCAAAGAGAAGTCTTTACAGACGCGGATTGGGCTGGATCTCTAGATGACAGAAGATCAACATCCGGTTACTGTACGGTCGTAGGAGGAAACTTGGTTACTTGGAGAAGCAAGAAGTAAAGTGTAGTTGGTAGATCAAGTGCGGAGGCAGAATATAAAGTTATGGCCCAGGGTGTTTGCGAACTGCTTTGGCTACAAAAGCTACTACAGGAATTGAGATTGTCTGAAAAAGAAAAACTTTCCTTATACTGTGACAATAAGGCTGCCATCAATATAGCTCATAATCCAGTCCAACATGACCGAACAAAGCATGTGAAAATTGATCGACACTTCATCAAAGAAAAAGTTACAACTGGGTCTTGAGTTTGTTTCATGTGCCATCGAAGAAACAGCTAGCTGATGTGTTTACCAAAGGTCTCAACAAGCGAACTTCCCATACTTTGAGTTGCAAGTTGGGCATGTGCGACATCTTTGCACCAACTTGAGTGGGAGTGTTGATTAGCATGATTCAGACTTGATTTAGGAGTGTTGATTAGCATGATTTCAAGAGATTTGATTATATTTAGGAGATCTGATTTGATTTGATTTGATTTGATCACTGGATTGATAGTATAGATTTATTTTATTACCTTAATTAGCATCAGGAGCTTTGTATAAATTATCTTGCTCATGGGATGTAAACACACACATAAATACAAGAAGCCTTTTCTTCTTTTCAAAATTCACAGTAACAAAAAAGGAAGCAATTGCTGCTCGATTTCAAATATGTTCCTTTAGTCCTTTCCACATTGCACACTGCAAAATGCTGACTCCTCATTATTAGGCAAATTGATTCGTATTCAGAAAAGCCGTTAGATTGCCTTGATTACATGTCTAGCTTCTTAGGCGTGCACCAAGTTTTGGCACCTTTGTCAAGAAAAATAAGACCTGACATGATTAGAATTCTAACACAGATGTTATAAATGCATTCTTTTTGCCTCAATTCAGGTTCCAAATAAGTACTAGTTGTAGCATAAATGTCAAAGTTTACAGTCATTTGATATATTTCAGGAATCAGGCCTAATGCTAGTATTCTAAACATGGCATTTGAGGCAATAACTTTCTCTTGATTGTTAATTACCCCTTCTTCTATCAGCAAGCACCTATGTTACTGTAACCGCATGAACAGGTTTTACTAGGAGAAGAGAACTACAATGCGTGTATACATACTACCTCTGTATATTTATTTTGATGAAGATACCTCTGTATATTTATCACATGCACATTCGCCAACCAAAGGATTTAGTTACTGACTTCAACAACTAAGCTCCTTTCCTTTCTTCTATAGATGGTTTATCATCTGATTTTCTCAGAATCTCGATCATTTTCAAAGGAGAACATTTTCTTAGCATGGAGCAGAGGTAAAAATACTAAAATGTTTTAGGATTGAAAACTGAGTAAACATGGAAGCCCCTTTAACCAATTATTTTGAAAATCTATATACGTAAAAGAGTACAATGGATGCTTGTCACTAAGAAGACCCTGAGAACTTCTCAAATTACCTTATGATAAACGGTACAGACATTGAGGTGTCGACAGCCTCTGCACATATTTGGACTCTGCATCAAAAGAAAGAAGTCACCAGAATAATAAGTTAATAATATCTAGAACATTTTGTTAAATGAGTTCCTCTTGGTCAGGTAATAAGCTAATTCAGTTTTCTGATCCCTTTTATAATTAAGGCGATAAATGATTGTGGCCTGGGATAGTGGTGGAAGATGATAACCATGCTTAGGTCTCTACAGGAAGAACTAGTATTCAATACTAATTATGAAGGTGTATTCGGAATGAACTACACTTAGCGGGCAAAACATTCACCTCTATGAAGACAACTAAACCAAGGGGAGGGGGAGGATATATTTCAGTAGAGATTTTTATGTGGTACCAGAGAGAACAGGTTACAGAATACAATTAAGAGCCTTTTAACCTTAACAATTTCTATAAACTTACAGGACTGTGCACGAACAGAATATAATAAAAGGACACAAGGAAATGCGGGCCCTGAATGCTTAGTGGACAACACGCCATTGTGTGGAAACTGATCAGCCACATATTCAATGACTAGACAGTACTAATGCAAAATATTCAGTTCTAGCAAACACTATCTGTATTTATCCCAAGTATAACAGGATGAGACGGAGATACCTTACCTGTAACATTTGTGGCAGTTGTTGAGTTATAGTGGTCTTGAGAAGATCATTTGCAACTTCATTACGGCGCATTCATCTTCGAACAGTAATTCCCTTGCAAAATGAAGTGTAATTTAGAAGGCTGCAGAGAAAAAAGAAAGAAAAGCAATCTTTATAATTCTTACAGATGCTAGTTTTCACCTACTAATCAAAATCATTACCTGCGTATGATCTGTGTGCAGATAATACAGGAGACCATGTCCAATATGCTGCGAGTATCTAATTAAGAGAAAAATAGAAGGCAATGAGATGAATCTATGAAGAAGAACTAAAGGAAAATCTACATAGCAGTACAGCATATGCCAACAGTAGGTGAATAATTATGCAAATAGGCGGGTTCGGTGCACCTTTCTGACATTAGAAGGGTATACAGCATCACTTGAGCATTATATTCCATAGCTGTCTGCAGAATGTAATGCCAACGATAGCCTAGAGGTTAGGTGCCTAGCAAGAACATGTAAAGTGGAAAATTATCATTACTTCACAACTAAGTGGTACTATTTTGCAAATGCTCAAGAAAACTTGCCTGTCCATTTGTTGCCTTCCCAGTTTTAAATTCGAGAGGCATAATCATCTCATTATGTTTACTGGTGTTGAATTTTACATTTACTCGCAAGGATGCATCAATCATGCCTTTCAACCCATATCTTGGGGCCCATGCCATTTCTTCAATATCAAGTACCTATATTTAAGGACATCCAAAATGAAAAGAATATAAACTCAGGCACAATCTTGGTTAAAGAAAGCAATCCCAAGTGCATGTAGCTAACTGAATTGAAGCACAAATCATGTAAACCACTTGGGGAATGTAATATTAGTTAAATGTTAGATTAACATGCTCCATTGGTTGCTCATTACTAGACATCCTCTAACAATCTCGCTACCATAAACTTTACAAACACAATTTATATCTGATGTCCCATAACTCATCAATTAATGAATCTTTTCTTTTAAAAAAATCTTAACGTTATACTTTAGGAGGACAATTTACATGTACTTTCATATTCCAGTTGCGACACTACAGTATATTAAATTTCAATTTGAGGTTGCTGTGTGGAAAGCTTATCGATTATTTCTTATTTTGTTCATCACAAATCATAAATACAAAAGGACACTAATGTTAGAGATAAATGTATTAAATTGGAATGAACCATTCATAATGATCATCCTGATGTGGTTAATGCTTTGTATATCAGAAATATTTGCAACATATGCTTCTGAGAACTAACAAAGTTCGTATCTCAAGATTATTAAATTATTCAAGATGGATAGCCTTAAAAGATATAGATTGCAAGTATTAACTCAAGCCTGCATTATTAAATTGGAATGAACCATTCATAATGATCATCCTGATGTGGTTAATGCTTTGTATATCAGAAATATTTGCAACATATGCTTCTGAGAACTAACAAAGTTCGTATCTCAAGATTATTAAATTATTCAAGATGGATAGCCTTAAAAGATATAGATTGCAAGTATTAACTCAAGCCTGCATTACCAAGAAAGATAGAAGGTTCCTTACTTCAGATACTTTAATCTTCTAATTAACTCCATCTTCACTTCCAAAATCGATACTTGGGCCTTCTGAAACCTAACATAATTTAAGCTCATAAATATGTTAGGTAAACAAGGAGAGGAATTAAATCAATGTGGGAACAAATGTGAGAATGTGCACAAATTATAATCAAGATGTACTGAGAATCAAACACAAAGAACTAGCCACCAACGAAGTAGAAAATAGTGATGGACATGGCAAAAGGACACGTGTTGCCTATGTTACATGGATCCTTCAAAAAAAAAAAAAAACCACTGCACCAAAGTCGATTCAAATTGATAAGGGCATGGGTGTGAGATATCACCGCACTTGGTTAATTCACCTAGGCTGCATTGGCTACAACTATGGCCGAGAAGCATAGGTTGGCTGTGTATTTGGTTAAAATTTTGGGTTTTACATAACAACAATAACAACATACCCAGTATTAGCCCACACCGTGGGGTTTGGGAGGGTAGTGTATACGCAGAGCTTACCCCTACCTTGTGAGGATAGAGAGGTTGTTTCCAATAGACCATCGGCTTAGGAAAGCATAAGCACCACATTAATGAAAATAAAGACAATAAGGGACAATACCAAAAAGTCATATAAAAACAGAATAAAACAACGAGACAGTAAGATGATCAACAATGAAAGAAAACAATGGTTAGTCATGAAAACCTACTACCAATATAAATCGAGACTGTGTGCCAATACTACTGTTATAAACACTCTAGACTACCTACTCTACTACCCTAATCCTCAACGTCCATACCTTCCTATCAATGGTCATGTCATCGGTCAGCTGAAGCTGCGCCATGTCTTGCCTAATCACCTCTCCCCACCTTAATCACCTCTCCCCACCTCTTCTTTGTCCTACCTTTACCTCTCCGTAGGCCCTCCAATGTCAACCTCTCACACCTCCTTACCGGGGCGTCTGTGCTCTTCCTCCTCACATGACCAAACCACCTAAGTCGTGCTTCCCGCATCTTGTCCTCAATAGGGGCCACACCCACCTTGTCGCGAATAACCTCATTTCTGATCCTATCTAGCCTGGTATGCCCGCACATCCATCTCAACATCCTCATCTCTGCTACCTTCATCTTCTGGACATGAACGATCTTGACTGGCCAACACTCAACTCCATACAACGTTATTGGGTTTTACATAAGTATTCAGATAAAGTATTTTGAATTTTTTTAATTGTATGTGATATACGTATGGAATAAAAGCTTAGATATTTAAAGTAATTTATTTGTATTTGTTTTTTTCGGATGATCTCTCAAATGAATTAGACATATAAATATATATGTTATACTATACATTTATTAGTGGTATCTTAGCACCCGTACCTGACCACCTTTCCTAATTCCCCAATCCTAAGATTTAGGAGATGACATATCATACTTCTAGATCCGCACCCATACAACCACACATGTATCTATCTATCTTCAGCATGCATAAGTATGAAGTTTAGAAAAAACTCATTACAAAAATACAAAACTGCATGACAAAAACTTAAGAATGTTCAGTATGAAGTATTAGGAAATAAACTAAAAAACTTCAGCATGTTTAATTTAAAGTTTAGCAAAAAACTCATTACAAAACTAGAGACTGCAGGACAAAAACTTCAGCATGTTTAGTCTGAATTTTAGCAAATGAACTAAAGAACTTCAGCATTTATAGTCTGAAGTTTTTAGGGAAAAACTCATTGCTAAAGTACAAACTACAGGACATAACTTCAGCATCTTTTAGTATGAAATTTTAGCAAATAAACTAAAAAATTTAGGCATGCATAAGTCTCAAGTTTACCAAATTATAGTACAAAAACTTTAAAACAAATATAAGGCTGAAGTTTTAGGAAATACAGTTCAAAATCAATTCAAAAAACAAACTTAATAACTTACTTCATCCGCAAGTTCAGAAGTAGAGTCCATAAGCTCGGTAAATAACGACTTTGGAATATCAATTCCAACTAATCTGAATGGCTTGGAATCATTGCATCCGTCTTCAACCAGTCTGTAAATCTCTGCATCAATTCGCTGGCTTGATTGACATAATGGAAGGGACACCTTCGTGTAATCAGTCCTGCTTTCCAATCTTGCCCCCTTGCCTTTTGTTTAGGAATAACGTAAGGAGATTTCAAAGTTAGGCAAGATACTTACCTCAAATCACGCTAACTCAATTCACTAGTAGGTCTTTCCTCGATTATCCAATTCCGAACGGCTCAAATCTAGCAAAAACAACCTCATACTATAAATATAAACTATAGAAAATTATTTCGAACAATAAATTACGATCTTTGTAAAGAAATAAAAAGTCAACTCAAAAAGTCAAACCGGGCCCACTTCTCGGAACCCGGCCAAAATTATAAAATTCGAACACCCATTCGATAATGAGTTCAACCATCTAAGAATTACTCAAATCCGATCTCAAATTTCTTTTTAAATCCCCAAATTTTAGCCTAAGAAATTTCACAAATGTTTCCCAAATTTCTAACTCCAAAACAATAACTAAATGATGAAAACAACAATAGATTCATGTAATTTAACCAAAATCGAGTTAGGATTTCTTACCCCAATATTTTCTGCCCAGCGATTCCGCTTTTGCGACCCTTTAGTCGCATATGCGACGCCGCACCTGCGGAAAAACCATCGCAGGTGCGGTTCCCACATAACTCTAGGGGTTCTGTTTCTGCGGACAATTGCTCGCACCTGCGAATCCGCTTCTGCGGTCCTGCCCACAAGCCCTTCCCAAATTCCGCTTCTGCGGAAGAAATGCCCACGCCTACGGAGGCGCACCTGCGCCCAGGTGTCTGCACTTGCGAGCCCAACCCTGGGCTCTCCTTTTCACTTCTACGCTTCACCTTCTGCACCTGCGGTCAATCCCTCCGCAGGTGCGATGACACCAGCAGGCCCGGGACTTCAGCAATGAGACTAAGTCCAAAACTGATCCGGATTCCATCCGAATCACACCTGGGCCCTCCGGGATCTCGTCCGAACATACTATCAAGTCCTAAAATATCATACGAACACGCTCGAAGCATCAAATCACATCAAACAATACTAGAACCACGAATCGCGTATCGATTCAAGCCTATGGAACTATGAACTTTCGAATTTCGAAACTAATGTCGACTCATACCAAAACAACTCCGATTGACCTCAAATTTTTCATACAAGTCATAAATGACATGACTGGCCTATTCCAACTACCAGAATCAAAATTCGACCCCGATATCAATAAAATCAACTCCCAGTCAAACATCCCAACCTTTGAAACCTTAAATTTTATAACTTTCGCCAATTCACGCTAAAACGACCTACGGACATCCAAATCAACATCCGGACACGCTCCTAAGTCCAAAATTACCATATAGAGCTATTGGAACTGTCAAGACTCAATTCCGAAGTTGTCTACATAAAAGTCAAACTACGGTCAACTCTTTCAACTTAAGACTCCAACTTAGGGAATATATGTTCTATTTCACTCCGAAACCAAAACCAAACACCCCCGGCAAGTCAGGTAGCCACAATACAACATAGAGGAGGCAATAGATAGGGGAGTAGGGCTAAAATATTGGAGATGGCTCTAACTATGCTTTCTTTAGGTACCGTATCCTTTATATTTTTCAATTGTTTCATTTGGGTTTTACAAGTGTTAGCACAAAAATTGTAAACAATCCATAAACCATCACCTTTCTGAAAAAAAGAAGAAGACATGTTCTTGATAGGACTGCATGCTTTGTTGAACAAAGTAGCCTAATTTAATCTAAGTTTAACAAGGAGTGGACACCATTCTAAAGTTTCAAAATCACAACCCCACCTTTCCAGCGTAGTTACTCATGGCCTCAAGATAGTGTTTAACAACAATTCAGGCTTAATAAAATATGGAGCCATTTACCTCTGAACATTGGAAGGAACGTATCCAATTCAGCAGTTTTGGAATTGCATCAATCAATGTCTTGTGAGTATCATTTTCATCAACTGCAATTACCACAAGTTTGAGAAGTTTCAGCATTGAAAGGAATGGACAGTTTACGTGCTTTACTGTAGACTTGTCGTTGAGAATCATCTTTCCAGGACTTCTAAGAAAGCATGTTTCCAGATGCCAACGTAATAATTACGACTTCACAAAGTAGCAATTGGGAGAAACTTATGTTCCTCACCTCCACATGCATATAGGTTCTCAAGACTTTTCTGGAGCACTATCCTTACATAATCCTCCAAGAATTCTTGTGTAGGGGACTCTCTGATCAGCCCAGCCTGGCAAAAGCATCAGTCACTTTCAATGGCGGCATAGCTTATAGTACATGCATAGCAGTGAAAATTTAAACTATGATGGGAAATGTGCCTATGGCCATAGAAAGCAAGAAATTTTCATTCATAAAACCTGAAACATCTGATGCAATAATGTGCCAATCAATGCTGCAGCTGAATACTCGCCAGATTTTAACCTCTCATCAAGCACAGCTCGCCTTGAGCAACTGAAACTGGAAGTAAACTAACAGAGTACTCAACGTTCAAGAACAATGGAGAAAGAAGAATCATCAACTGATGGAAGCAAGACTTTGCAGACAACATGTTGAGTAATCGAAACAAACTGAAAAATAATTGCACAGACATACCCTTGTTCCAGCGACTAAAATATCTGGATGAACAATGAGAAAATTATTGTTGCGGTTTATTTCACATGATAAGTTATGCGTCCTGCTATATTTTGATGATCTGACAAACTTAATGTTAATAATCAGACTTCTGTTGTCAATAAGATGGATTTGTTTTGGCACCAAAGATTAGATCATATGCCTTATCATAAAATGCAATCTATTCCTTTCTTATCTGATAAAGTATGCAGTAAACAAAACTTTGAAAGTACAAGAGGGGGTGGGGGTTTTAAAATTAATTATTATAAGTTGAATGATTTTCCAATTAGTCGACTAGATGTAATAGCGAGATAATAAAAAGTGCAAAATTAAAATGCAGAAGTAAAATGCAGGAATTAAAGATACCAGAGTTTTTATACTGGTTCAGATTCAATGTGAATCCTAGTCAAGTCCCCTTGAGTTGCAAGGGAGTTCTCTTTCAGTGATTGAGTTTATTGAGTACAAAGTGAATGGTGTAGTTTACACCAACATCTCAGTTTCTATGTCACTCGTCTTTTCTTGATACAATGCCTTACCAGTATTTTTCTCTCTTTCTTCTCTAACTTGTTACACAACAGATCTATTAGAGCTACAATGTTTCTTTGAAGTAGAACAAAGAGAGGGTAATTGGTTTGATCAAAGTATATCTCTCTAAGACTTAAGGTTGCGTATAAATACTTTGTAGGAGACCGTTACTGAAGAGATTTGCCAACCCAAGAGACTTGATCCTCGGAAAAAAATTGATTCTTTCCAAGAATAAGGTTAATTCTCGTTACTCTTCCTTGATGTGTGGACTTTGACAGCTTTCCATTTTTAAGTCTTGATAGCGCCAGATTTGCTCCTTAATTTTGGGTCCTTCCAGTAATAGCTACTGATTGATTATCTTGTCGGATCTTCAATGCTTCTTTTCCTTTTTAACTCTTCAATCAATCTCAGATTGATTATCTCGCCGGATCGTCAGTGCTTATTTTTCTTTTGAATGCTTCATTCAATCTTTGATTGATTTCTTCCTTCAGCTTTGATTGTTTCTCTTTGTGTACTTCGATCTTGGTTGATTTCCTTGACTCCCTACACCAAAAGCAATTATATTATTTTTTTCATCATTAAAACTAAAACCTAACATTCTCCTCATTTTTGATGATTACAAAAAATTAATATGTGTAAACATCAGTTAACTTCCCTGTATTTTATTCCCCCTCAATGAGTGCAGTTGACTCCCCCTTAATAGGTGTCGTTGGGACTACTTGTTTTAGTCGACTTCTCCTGTAGTATCTATAGTCGACTCCCCCTGCAATGGATGTACCTGCACGAATATATGTATAGCCTTCTCCCCCTTTTTGACATCAACAAAGATGGGATAAAAACAACAATACACCAGATACTAAAGCAGAATTTGTAGCATGATATACATGCAGAGTAAAACAAAAAATCATCCAATGCCTGGTTATCTAGTCCAAAATAGCACAGCAAAAACATTTGTTTGAAACGTCCAAGCTAACGACGCAAGAAATAAGTAAGAGTATTGCAAATCGCTTCCTTCAGTTGATCAAAGCTAGCGTTAGCTGAGACAGTCACTCCATCAAGCATGTCGTGTTCTTCCTTGAATGCCTTGACTGCGTTATCCCTAACTCTGAGAATTGCAACCCTTATCTTTGAAACATCAGACCATGTCTCTTTGGAGATTGCATGAATGTCCCCAACAATGGACTGAGTGGCAGCAAGAAGATCTTTGATGGCAGTCAGCTGGTTGTCAATGGCAGTCAGTTTCTCAGCAAGGTCAGGATTACTAAGACGGTGCTGGGAAACAGAGGCTTTGGTTTTGGAATCAGGTTGAACATGCTTGACCTCACCTTCCTGTTGCTTAACCCATGAGCCCTTCACACACATATCCCATACTAGAAAACGCCCTAGAATTGTAAGATTTTGAAACAGAGACAAAGGGATATTCAGAGATAGAGATATTATGAGCTTCCAAAATGTGAGTGATGGTCATGCCATAGGGCAGACTAGTGGGATCATCAGCACTTTCAATCATAAAATTTATGATCTAGGAGGATAATTTGATGTAGAGTTTGGTCACAAGGCAATAGACAAGAAAGGTATCTCTTTGAGAGAAGGTGGAGAAGGAGCCAGTACGATGGAGCAAGGTAGTTGCAACAATGTGGGCTAGAACACGAGTTTCAAAGCTAACATCACTTAGACCTAACTAGTTCGGGAGGGATTAATATGAACACTCAACAATACAACGTTTTGCTTGATCAAAGGTGATTTCAAAATCATCAGGCCAAGAATTTTTGAAAGCATGGGAAAACAAGAACACTTACACTGAAAAATTGAGTCAAACATGGCATAATCAAGAACGATGCGCTTTCCTAACACTAAGGATTCCAACTTGTCAAACATACTAGAGCGAAGATTGGCATAAAACATTCTTACTAGGGGTTCATAGACTTTAGGAGGGGGAACCTAAAAGAATTTTGACCAGCCTTGATAAACAAACAGATCATTTACCTTACAATTTAGGGCTTCCATGTCATCAAGGTCGACTACTTTGCCATGAGCGATTGGCTTGTCTTTC